TATTTTCCCAGATTTACAGATATGTCCCTCACGAATTTCCTCTCAGGTAGGTCTCTCGGTTAGCCCTCAGCCAAACAAAATTACGAATCTAACCCCACCGGTTAGTGTACAACCTCGCAGTCAGTCTCGGCAGTCAAAATCAGCAAGTCATTGCAGGCTTACCCTCCGTGGGAGCGAGGACCTCCGAGCTAGCGATGTAGGCGAGGTGAACGGCGAGGAAGGTTGTCCTTCTGAGCCGCTTTATATCGCAACACAATAGACTTTGCTGTTTTGAGAAGTTCCCTGTTGTCGAACCATCTGCTCTCAGAACGAGGCTGGAAGATGAACCTCACAAGATACGGGGTCTGTGCCCCACTCATCCTCAATCCGGTCGATATCATATCCCTTGCCAGGGATTGGTGGACCGAACTGAGGAGGCCGGTCTGGGAATGCATCAGCTGGAGTGAATGGCAACAACTTGGATGCATGAAAGACCGGGTGGGTGCGTAGATGCAGCGGGACGTCGATAACATATGACGGGCCGAAGGGATCAACGCCCACTGTATCTAGGACCTGCCATGGACCCAGGTAACGTGTGGCAACAGCTTGGGAGAGATATCCTCCTCCCTCGACTGCTCAAAACTGGCCACCCGGACATGATCACCAGTGCGGATGGGGGAAGGCCGCCTGTGGCGATTAGCTTGGTCAATCATAGCCTTTTGGGCTTTGAACAAGTTTGCGCGGGCTCTTTCCACATCTAGACGATAACGTCTGGTGAACTCTGTTGTGCCTGGTGTCAGATCAAGCTTAGCCTTATCGATGATATCATCGAGAGGCTGTCGTGGTTCACGCCCCCAGTGTAACCGGTAGGGACTGAACCCTGTTGAGGAGTGGACAGACATGTTATACATGAGCTGTGCCCTCGCTAAGTGAAGATCCCAGTCCTGTTGATCGGGAGAGATGACAGAACGCAGCAGTTGGAATAAGACTTGGTTCATCACTTCAGCCAAATCATTAGCTTCAGGATGGTGACCAGAAGTAATGCCTAGTCATGAGTGCAGATAGTCCTTACAGCAGGACTGCCACTCATCGCTGCAAAATCTGGGGTCTCGATCACTGACAATAGAAGTGGGCGGTCCATGGTGTGTGACCCACCTCTCAGGAGAAGGCTGCTCTCACAGCCGGTACCCTAGCTACCTCTGGCAAGGGGATGAACTCTGTGTATTTGGAGAACCTGTCCACGCAGACCATAACCTGACGCATGCCACGAGGGGTGGTCTTGCCTAAATCTGTGAAGTCTATCGATACAGATTCAGCAGGGCCATCAGGTATGGGTAAGGGTTTGAGCACTCCCAAAGGAGGTCTACGTTGGACCTTATTCCTTTGGCAGAGCTCACAGGTGTCCACATAACGCAACATATCACTCCGCATCTCCTTCCAGAAGAAGCGCTGCGACAGGGCTGCATAAGACTTTAGGAACCCGAAATGTCCACGGGCGTCATGACACTCTGACATCAGCAGTGTCCTGAGCCGCTGGTCCTGGGGAATGCACAAGCGCTCCTCACCTCTGTTGTAAGTATACAGCAGGTCTGAACTCAGAGTTCAGAGTTAGGATCTGCTTGCAGATTCCTGACAATGGGTCCGAAAGTCTCGTCCTGAGGCAGTAGACGAGCAATGGTCTGACGGGTCTCCTCTCCAAAGGAGTGAGTAGAGGAGATCGACGCAAAAGAGTCAGGCCTACGAGAGAGGGCATCTGCTACCTTGTTGTAGCTGCCCTTCTTATGCTTCAGTTCAAAGTCAAACATGTCAATGAACTGAATGTACCGTGCCAACTTATCATTTAAGTCTCCCTGGGACTTCATCCACTGGAGGGTGGAGTGATATGAAAAGATCTTGAAGTGCCTGCGAAGGAGAAAGTGTTTCCAATGTTTTAGGGCACAGACAAGAGCATATAGCTCTTTTTCGTAGGTGGAGTCCTAGAGCTTTTGAGTCTTGATCTTCTTACTCATAAACTCTACAGGCCATAGACCATTCCCATCATCCTGCTGAAGAACTACCCCAATGCCATACTGACTGGCGTCAGTGCTCAGGATAAATGGCAAAGTGGGGTCAAGTAACTTCAGCACAGGTGCACGAGTAAAGGCCTTCTTGAGTCGTGTGAAGGCCAACTGACAGTGGAGGGACCAAAGAAAGGGAGTGTCCTTCTTTGTTAGGTTAGTCAGGGGTGCAGCCACTGCAAAAAAGTTCCTGACAAACTTTCTGTAGTAGGAGGCTAAACCCATGAAGGACCTGACATCCCTCACTGTCTGAGGCTGAGGCCACTCCTGAATAGCAGCAATCTTGGCTGCTTCAGGAGCCAGACCATCTCCAAAGATTACATGACCCAGCTAGATGACAAAGGAAACTCCAAAAGAGGACTTCTCTCTGTTGATCTTATACTGACTGTCACGTAACGACTGAAGAACAAGAGCCAAGTGCTCCGCATGTTCCCTGGCAGTCCGGCTGAATACCAAGATATCATCCAGGTAGACAACCATGAACTTGTCCAGGTAAGGCCTGAAGATGCGGTGCATCTCTGTCTGGAAGGTGTCTGGGCCGTTGCAAAGTCCAAATGGCATGACCAGGAACTCATAAGTCCCATACCTGGTCTTGAAGGCTGTCTTATAGACATCCTCCTCTGCCATCTCAATCTGGTGGTAGCCAGATTTGAGGTCGACTTTGCTGAACACTATGCAGCCCTGCACCATGTCTAGGAGGTCATCGATCCTAGGAAGTGGCTCAGTACTCTTCCTAGTGATCTTATTGAGACCCCTGTAGTCAATGCACATTCTGAACTCGCCGTTCCCTTTGGGCACAAAGAGAATAGGTGCACCGAATTCAGAAGTGCTGGGTCTGATCCAACCCTTGCTGGTCAGGTTCTCAAGCTGCTTTCTGAGCTCCTCAAACTCAGCAGGGGACATCCTGTAGATGCGACCCTTGGGAGGGACCGCTCCAGGCAGCAGCTTGATGTGATGCTTGGTCGGTCGGTTGGGTAACCCAAAGGGCTCCTGCATCAGATCAGCATACTGATCTACCGCCTGCTGTATCTCAAGAGGACAGGAAACAGGGGGAGCATCTGTTTGCTTGACCAAAGCAATAAACAGACGCTCGTGGTGGTACTGGCGTGAGAGAGCATGAAACTCCCTCGCTCTCAGGCAGTAGCAAGAAGTCTTAGGGTGGTGATCAACAACAATCATGCATGGCTGATACACACCCTGGCTGTCTGGTAGCTCAACTCTAGGGATCTGCTAGTCAATCCTAGGGTTGACTGCCCTTAACCACTGCATGGAGAACACCAAGTCAAAAGGCAGCTCAGGGAAAATGTAAAACTTCAGACTGTGTCTGACTTTTCCAGCAGTATCGAAGGTCACAGGGATACCCTTGACCTTCTCCCTGATGCTGAGCACTGTAGAGTCACCAATCCGCACCAGCARCGGTTGCTGCAGYTGCTKAACTTTCATGCCCARRTGCAGCTTTTTAACTGCACTGGGAGACATGAAGTTCCTGGTGGCCCCACAGTCCAACAGCCCAGTGATCCTGGTGCTGTTGATCAGTGGCCGAAGCATGATGAGATCAGTCTTGCTCTTCTTYTGTTCCTTCAGATGAAGGAAGAAGGCAGCAAGGGACTGAAGCTCATCCTGCCCCGGGTCCTGATCCRRGTCAGGATCCTCATAGCAGAAGGATGYTGCCCGCGCAGTCCCCAAACMAWCAYYATCACAYRCAGTCTCAACTGAAACAACTGCAGATTCACCTACCTGAGTAGATGAAGGTGCAACACTGGGGGGAACTGCAGTCCCCAGGGTCTGTTTCAGTTTTTTGACTTACCTGGGCCTGGCATGTAAGGGCAGTCCTTCATAAAATGCTGGCCCTCACACCTCAGGCAGACCCCTCTTTCCTTTCTTCTTCTCCAGACTCCCTCCTGAATCTTGAGGTCATGCCAGGGGAGTGTGGAGGGATTGAGAGGGCCAGCTGGCATCCGAACATCTTTGGGCAAGTTAGGGCGCTGGGAAGAGGAAGGCCGACGTCCCTTATCCTTCCCCTTGGCAATGGCTGAGGCTGTGGTGGGAGAGAACTTCCTCTGCAGCTGCAGAGCTCCCAGAACAGCCTGAGTCACGGCTGCTGCAACATCTGGATCAGCAGCAGATCCAGTCCCAGCTGAAGGTGCATCAGCCTGGGAAGCTGAATCTGATCCTGATGCAGATCCCACATGAGTGAAGGCTGCCTTTCCCCTTCTGCCACCTCTAGGGAAGGCACCTTTCCCCCTGTCCGACGATGGGGCCTAGACATGGAGCTTGGCCTCCGTTTCCAGGGCTGCGCGGCCAAAGGACCTCCAGTCCTTGTGCCCAGCGCTGTACAGTGCAACAACAAATTTCTCAGGCGCTGCCCTGCAAAAGTTGGTCAGCAGATCGTCAGTAGACATGACCAACCCAGGGGTGGAGGTGAGTTGCTCAAACTCAGCAAACAACACCTGCAGAGTCCCAGTGTACCGCGACTGTCCCAGGCGAGCAATCCTGTCAGCAGCCTTGCGGGCTCGCTCCTTGTCTGCAAATCTGTCCTCCAGGGCCTGCAGAAATCTGTCCACCCCAAGCCCAAAAGCCCAGTCCTCCAGGGACTGCTGTAGACTGCTGGAAGTGGAAGTGGCCCACTTTAGTGCAGGCCCTTCCAGCAGCCCCAGAACAGTCGCCACCTTGGTCTGTTCTGCACAGACAAATCCCCTCAAGTAAGCTCTCGTCCCAGCAGCCCAGTCCCCAACATCGGTCTTGGGGTCATCACCCCTGAACTTGTTGGGAGCAGGGATCTTGGGACCTCTGTAGTCTCCTCCAGTAACAGCAGCATAGGTAGCCTTTGCTGAGGCCTTTTGGGAGTGGGATGGTGACCGGGATGAATGTGCTGAACCAGGGGGAGTAGAAGGGGGCGAAGAAGGAGGAGAAGGTTTGGGTTTCAGCAGAGGGAGCTGATGGGCAATCAGCTTGGCGGCTGTCAGCTGAGCAGTCAAGCTCTGGATAGCAACCAGGATCTTAGACTGCTGAGCTGCAGGTCGTCAACCCGACGCTCCAATCGCACAAAGCGGTCATCCCAGTTCGTGAATTGTGAACTGATGATCTTGTGTTCCAGCAGGATCATCTCTGCCATGTATTTGGTGATCTGGGCACAACGATCATCTGTGAGCGCCTTGTCTAGCTGCTGCAACAGATATTCCCTTCTGGAATGATCTGTGGCAGCCTCTAGCTCAGCTGCCTCCAGCTGTTCCAACGCTGCCAGCCTGGCCTGCTGCTTCCGCAGCTGTTCTTCCAACTCCTTCATCCGTTGAGTAGCAGTCGGAGGTGGAGGAGGAGGAGTGGAGGTTGAAGGTTGTTCACCTTCCACCTTCATCACCACTTCCACCTGTGGCTGCTGCCGAGTCCCTTGATCAGACATTTCCTTTTTCCAAAATAAAACCAAAAATAAAACAGCAACCTGAGTGTGCAGCGATAATCAGTTTCCTTCAGATACCCTGGAATCGCCGCAACTCTCAACACTGGAATAGGTGGGTGAATGGGCAATCAACGGTTTGGGTTGGAAAGGTGTCCCTGGGGTCAGGTGTCAGACAGACTGTAAGTCCGGCAAAATCATGCACACGATTTCCTTTTACTGACTCTGCACCACACAGGAGTTAGTAGAGTCACTCCACTACTCTTCTAGAGACACACTAGAATTCCAGAGCCCAGTAGAAAACAAGTGTCATCAGTGAGAATGATGGAAGATGATTAGCACAGACAAGAGAGGTCAACCAAACCAAGCGATTCAGACAGACACCCTGTAACCTAACTCAGACTTCAATTTGACCCTGATGACTCTGGCGGCCATACCCTAGGGTATGGCGAAGTACAGTATTCACTGTATCCAATGAAATACTGTAAATCCAACTCTGTGATTCTGCAGTAGTACCTATTTTTGGATTGCGATTCACTAGGGACTGACAGAATGGAATTCTGACGGACAGAATTGAAGTTATGACTGACCCTAATTAGCACAGGCTATAAATAGACTCAGCGCAAAACTGGAATTCACAGTATCACTACCTTTCCAATGCAGAATTCACAATTTGAGCATCCCTGAATAATCGCAATGCCGTAAAGCAGTCACAGAACAAGTTTGGATCAGAAAGAGTCAACAGAGGATGAGAAATGAGCAGAGAGAGGTAGGGGAGAGATGGCTATGGCTGTCATGCAGTCTGCGATTTCCACATCCAGTCACTGGCAGACAGATAGACCATTATAATACACTAAACTAATACTATCTGGATCGCAATACAGGTAGGTGCATGGAACGGACTCACTTTCAGAGAATCTTGCAGGTGATGATGGAGATCTGGCTATGGCAGATGATACCCTTATCTCGCCAATTTCTTCCAGATATTCCTCCTGGCAATCCCACGCACAGAACTGCTTCAAACTTGTTGATCCTCCTCAGGATCCTGTAGCGCTTCACTCCCTCAACCCAGATGCACTGTATCTGGTCCTGTGGCGCCCAGTATGCCAACACCAAAATATCTCGCCACAGTGCCTGGTAGCCATTGATGCTAAAAATAGCCCCAATGGGGTTATTTCTTCTGGAGATTGATACAGACTATCAATCTCTACCAGCGCTACCCAGGGATGATGGCGCTCAGGGTTCCCTTATGTCCTCAGGGGTAATTAGCTACTCTGGGGTAATTCGCAATATTACCCTCAGGGTTGGCTATGGCGAATTAGCCATGTACTCACCACTTTCTGACAAGCGCCTTGATAGGCTCAGTGCGCTTGCTCAGTGCAACCACTGAACACTTGAATCCACCGCTGAAAGTCTTCTTCCCTGCTGACTCAGTACTGGGGAAGATGAATCGCCATGACACTCTCGCCAGTATATCGCCAGATGAAGAAGATGCCTCAGTGCGCTCAACCCTCAGCGTTCCAAATCCAATCCCGCTCCGATACCAACTGTTATGAACTTGGTTGTCTGACGATTTTTACCGCCACTCACACACAGACAATCTCATACACGCCCATACATGCATAAGAGAAGGGGGAGAGGAGACAGAGTCCACACTGCACACAGATTAGAGTAGGCAGCGGAATACAACTATGCACAGATGGGGAGAAGACACACAATGTTTCTCTCTCTCTGACACACTCCCAACAACCAATCACAAGTAGAACCGGCGAGGATAACAATTGAAATCACACTGATGATGAGCCAACTCAAACAAT